GCCCCAATATTCGACAATCGTGGCTTATAGAACGTTCACTGCAAATCACTGGGAAGAACTTTGGAAAGGGGCATTTGGAATCAGAAGGGCTGGATGAAGCAGACATTCTGACTAGCTGCACCCCAAGCTGGCCTGAAGTTGAAAAATGGGAGGAACCCAATACGTGGGTTTGTAGAGTATGGCAACCATAACTACCAGAAAAGAACCTAAACCATCTGAGGAATAGTTTCGCACTATTTAAAATGCGCCATACATTTGATTCTTACTTAGAAAACACAAATGGGGTCATAGCGAGCGTTGAAAAGTAGTATCAGGCTGTATAAAGCCAAGAGTAACAAAACATCCAAATCGGAATTTTCAACTTAAGGGTTACGATTTGGATACTGAAGGAAAAAAGAAGACTACTACGGTTGAAGCTAGAGTGAATCCTTTGAACCACGTAAGTGCAATGGAAGAAAAAATTCGTCGTTGTACCATACGTACGGTGGAAATTAATGGGAGGGTGGTAGGGCACGGGTTATTTAAAAGGTATTCCTTTAAACAAATTGGCGGATAGCGACAGTAAAGCCAAAGAATGAATTACATCTGACGAAGTTAGATTGCTATTTTTCATGTTCAACTGGTTTTTCAGTTTATACTCTTTTTAAAAAATTTATTGCCTACAACATAAATTGAAATCAAAAATTTTTACGAGTTCCACGAAAGAACTATTGGATGTGCAACTGGTTTTTTCCACGAAATCCATTTTTATACTCTAATTGTGGAGAAAGTAATGTTAGAGCACATTTCAAGCTGATGATGTAAATGACTCCGCCTTTTTCACCAACGTGAAATGTGCCTTTAAGTTCGACGATAAGCAATTAGTTTAGAGTTTGAGCTCACCTCCAGAGACTACCGCCAAGAGGTACGGCACATGCAGATCGCAGAGTGGGCAGAGTTTCTTGAGATATCGCGTACGAAGTGCATCGTACAGTCGTGTCTCCTTGGCTCTCAACCGGACTCGACTACAGCCAAGCCAAACCAAGACCAACGCATTATACAAGGAGCAGGATAACTGAAGAAAACAGTAAATATTTCTCAACTAAAATTATTAATGAGGTGAAATTTCAATTTTGATCAATTTCCAATAAGCATTCGATCGCAATCAAGCGTATAGAGAGCTGGAGGAGAACTGCAAATTCTGCATCTCTGACCTCTGACGGACCATTAGAATCAGATCTGTAATATGCCTTCAAACAACCTACCCCATGCGTTTCCCTGTTCATTATGGTACTAGCTGCCGCGGCCAGAGTGTCGGCAAACCGCAACTGTAACGAATGGCTGTTCACCTGAAAGTAGAACGAAAAGTTACAGTGACCAGCCTTAATGGTAACTACTGTAACACTTGAAGGCGATGGAAGACCTTCCCGATTTGCGCCACTCAAACACGAAAGCGGCTACTTCTGTGGTTGGGAAGAAGTTCTGCAACACTCTCTTTTTTTATTTTTGTCCGAAAAATTCGTAGGTAACATTTATGACCAACAAATGATGAAGCATCCTCTAGGGTTCCATTTAGTGGGTGGATATGGGCGCTGCGAACAGCAGTTGTCCAAGAAAGTCTAAACAACCTCGACCACTGAGCCGGAGTCGACCTCGGAGTCACTGTCTGGTACAAATATCTACATATTTACGAATTCATGACAATGACTGAAACTATGTTCAATCATCAACGGGATGCCACTTACTGCCTACAGCGGCGACTTAGCTGTAACAGCAGTTTCGATCCTTCATTGGGCTTGCAGCGTCCCGCACACTCCATTACAGGGAGGGTATCTACTGAACCTCAGCTCCAATTCTTCGTTATACGCACTATTGCGTAGGTAGAGGTTTAGGCTGCGGAAGTCCAGAAGTTGGCCGAGCAGTCGCCGAAAGCACTCGTACCGCGACATTGTTTCATTTTCTCATTGACATTGTGATCACAATGTTCCCGGAAATTGCCCTAAGGAATTCTGAGCCGCCGATGAGATTCCTTACCTCACCTAATCGTTACCCTTTACAACGTCAAGCGTCATCTATTATGACGAAAGAATAGACGATCAACTTCGAATTTGGAAGCATGGTCATCGTATTTCTTTAGCACTCTTCAACACTTGGAGGAGCACCGAGAAAATTTTCTGCAGCATTGGCAACAAGGGTGGACACGAACGCTTGATATCCAATTAGTCAGAAGTTGCGCAAACAAAAAAGCTGAAATCAAATCAAAATGGGAAGAAAGTATTGCAGAAGTTTCTTCCCAACCTACACGTATGTTTTCGTGAGGTAGCTGGCACTTCTGAGGCAGCTTTCCTCCGACATCTTACCCAGGGACAATAAAAAAAAACCAATACTCCCACCACTTTAAACTCGTAAGCATTAGATTAACGGGCTAACAACTACTTCTGGGATGAAAGTTGAGTGCACGGTGCAACCCAAGATGGTGTCTCTAGAGAAGTTGAGCGTCTTGTAGAACTCAACGAGCTGAACTCAACATCGTTTCCGGATTTTGAAAAGCTTGAATTTGAACCGAGTTCGAAATCGCTTTGGGTTTTGCAGTTTTTACTCCGAGTACCATAGAATGCGTGCGTCCCAAAAAGGGAATGATCAAACGGCAAAAGCTTCATCCCTTGAAGCCTTATTATCTTTGAGCCTTATGCTCCCACTAGGACGCCTCAGGACTTTACTACATGACGCCATAAGGCCAAATATTTCAGTTTCCAAAGTTAACCTATGCAAAAACAACAAGTTTCTGAGAACATTCCTACTGAATCACCGTTGGGTCCCCAAAAAATTTTTTTGATAAAAACAGGGGGGGAAGGGGGGATTTTACCGTTTCATCAAAAATTTGGAAATCTTCATTCTACACCCCGAACGAGCACTGAAATGGGAAATGTGACGTCAGCATCCTTGGGAAGTGGACACCGCCACAGAAGGGATAAATTTCGAGGGAGGTGATCACGACTGAGCGAAACGGTTTGCTTGACGTCATTCGATATCAATCGTGGACCTAACCTCTCGGCGCGCTGGGCGTGTGCATGGAATACAACCGCCAATCATTCTACGATGTTGCGTTAAAGGAATCTTCCGCGGAAAAGCTCCGCCTCCATTACCACAGAAAAACGATACCCCTTAGGCCCCTAGCCTCATGAGCATAGCAAAAAGAACGGAACATAAGCGTTAGTTTCGATAATACTAATCCTACACAAGACAAAATGATCACTCTTTCCGTGGAAGATTCCTTTAAGGTATGTCGAGCTTTTTCCGTGGAAGATTCCTTTAATGCACGTTATCAAAACCGTCTCGCCTTCCAGCCACAGTTCACCCATCCAAAGAACAAGAATGAATGAGACCAGAAGCCGCCCGGTCGCGTCTGTGCCCACAGAATTTTGTGCTCTCCAAATTTCAAACGTCTATCTAAAATTCACGGTTTCCTGACTTCTTCGAAGATGTAAACTTACATTCAGAGATAGATTGATGGCCAATGCACAAGCGTATTCCGTGGCGTACAATGAATTGCGAGCCTCGAGGAAGTTCACCACCCACTCGAGCATTCCGCATTGCAGCAGCTCACGTTGGCACGACTGCCTAAACAAGGAAAACAGTGGCGAGGATTCATGCAACGGTAAGCTCTTTGTTTCTCATTTCTCCTGAAGTTTTTGAAGAATATTAGGAGACAAAAGCCAAAAAATTTCCGACTGCCTCCGACTTCAATACAGGCCTACTCCGGATCTTTGGTTTAAAATGAAAATGAGTTTGCAATAAGGATGTCGAGAATTTACCCTCGCTCAAGTCCAGACATGGGCGCAGTGTTAAAGAGGATTTGTTCGCGAGCACGTGGATTGAATTCTGCCTCGGGAGCAAACTCTACCCCTCCTGACAGCTCCGACAGTTTTCTCTGTGGCAAAAAAAAAAACAATAAAAATCCAGCGGTGGGTGGGACTCGGGTGCCAATGTATTTCGAAAAGCCATCAAAAATCGTCCATTTAGGACTCATGAGGTCCAAATAAGCGATTTTCAAGTGTTGTGACCAACGTTGGTGGTGTTCGCAGTGGATGACAAGTCCCTTTGCAAAAAAGAGTAATAGGTTTTTATAGACAACATAGAGAATACTGGCCTCAACACGAATCACACAGCTACCCGAACTCAACTCATTGTCTATCACAGCCCTTCCTTTGACCGTTTCTACCAGGACCCTGCAGGATAAAACATCTGACATTCCAGGCCAGACTCTGGAAAGATCGTACGGACTAAACCCTACGCGAACTTTGAAGTAAGTGAAGCGTAACCTTACCAGAATCCCTTACCCTACGCCCCTCCTCTGCGTTTGCGAACTCCTTTTGTAAAGCCACCTACAGTAACTTGACATGGTCCAGAACAGGGTGAATATTGCTTGAGGATTCCTCAACGGCACGTCGAGGATTTTCGCCTGATCCTTTACGTTCTCGCGCGCGGATATTCACTCTCGCCACCCGCGAGCCGTCTGTGCTCTCCGCGCGTACATTCACTATCGGCTCTACTCTCGCACAGCGGGGGTCTAGGAATTCCACGATCGTTATTCACCCTTGATTCTAAATCCCTGGCATCTTACCATCAGAAGTTCATTCGAGAAGAGAAATACATTAAAGAAAATACTACATGTTATAAATGATGTGTATAATACATGTAAATATAATAAATAAATACATAAATAATCTAAATACAAAATTCGAACTATTCCGCAAAAGTGAACGTACCGCACGCTGGCCTTCTGGAGGGTGGCGATCAATTGCTCTTGAGTTGTCAAAGGTAATCGACGCCCACGAAGAACTGGCACAACACTTGCCAAAAATAACCGAAGATGACCTAAGCAGATTTTGTTAGTTTTCTTGAGGCCTTCATGCTAAATTTTATGTTTTCTCGCTCCCATAACTTCTGACAGAGAGGTCACTTGAGCGAAACGTTTCAAGACAAGTTACATATTGCCCTAGTTGAAGGCACGTCCGCCGATAAAATGAGGGTGTCAAGAGCGCTCAGTAAATGAAAGTTGGAAGGCCCAGGAATTGGTCCTGGAAAAGGAAGGGGAAGAAAGAGAAATCCCCGAATATTCCCCGAATAAGGACCTGCTCTCAGTCGATTCCACCTTAAAGCAACAGTCCCAGCAGGGTGGGCGTGGTCGGAAACGACTGCAATCCCCCTCGGCCGATTCCGACCACGCCCACTTCAGCTCCCTCCCTAGCGGCTTTCCAAGGTGAGTTTTTGTTCAGTCACACTTCTTACGTTCTTGACTAGGGGCTGAACAGCTCCGAAGTGGGAATCGGCCGAGGGGATTGCAGCCGTTTCCGACCACGCCCACCCTGCTGGGACTGTTGCTTAAAGATAGCAAAGGAACGTTTTGGACGAGTTCTACGAACACAGCTCCGTTGCCCAGCGCCACTGACATTGAACCGTCATGCAACCGCTACTGCGACTGCGTCCGCGCCTCGCTTATCGCAAGCGTCACGTGCACCGACAGCGGAAGACAGGCTTGTGACGAAGGAGGTGGACTTGCAGGTGAGCCAAGCTTCCAGCGCTGGGATTTGTACACTTTCCAAGACGCAAAAAGGGCGCGAAATCAACGCTTGTCTGCCTGTCTTACTACGAGGAGATGGCGCGCCTAATCCTGGAGCGTGCATTCAAGATCTGCTGATTGTTGGGGCATTTCTGAAAAAAGACTGACCAAGACAGTCAAATTAGTCTTTGTCCCCTGTGGAGGTGGTAATGTTCACCTAAAGTTTCGACAGAAATACGCTTGCCTTAACGGTCCCATTAGAGCTTCTTTGAAAAGGGCTTATTGTATTCTCGGAGATGAACCCACGAGACGAAAACTGAAGGGTCTATCGTTTTTCCACAATTCTGGAACAAACCATGAGTATTTACAGAATTTGAAGGCGTCGCTAGGTATTTACCGGTTCAGGTTATCGAGGCAAGGCTCGAGGAACGAAACAAGCAGGTACAGAACCAGCAGGCCAACCTGCGCGCCTTAAATAGCCCTTAACTTTTGTCCCAGCCGTCGTCGTCAACAAAAGCTCCCATCTCAAGAAAATTACTGCCAAATAAATGCCAATCAGTCCGACCGGAGAATGGTTATCGGGTTCCAGTGTGCGCCTAAAATGCATCCTGATGGTCCCCGTGTCCTGTAAAGAAGGCGAATGCTTGGTGCATCCCACTGAGCCGCACAAACCCCTTGTTCCTTTGACTCCAGCGATTCCCTATCTTTCAAAAACCCATGAAGATCTGATGACCTATTCCAATAACCCAGTAAGCGCGACTTTTGGTGCAAAGCACCCAGTGCCTCTGTTACCTCTTCACCTTCTCTCACTGTAATGCAGAAGAAATGATGCTCACCTAGTTTCCTTTCGCACGAGCGGATTGCACCACACCCCGCCCTCCCCCCTCAGAGTTTTTCCCTTGCGGAAAATGGGATTGCTATATGTAGTAGGCACAAACTATTGCGCAACTACCCCCCCCCTCCTATTGGAATCGATCCCCTAAAAGGCAGTAATCACGATGACTAAAGGGCGGTGCTGTCAAGATGACGTCGTTGTTCGTCATTGTTGGACTAGACCACTCAGGGCCCTGGGAGGCGCGGTTGGGACCGCCTTCTAACGTCTTTTCGCCAATAACGTTCAATGACGTCATCAAGACTGTGCCGTCCTTCATTCATCGATCACGGCTTTCAGTACTTTGACCATAAGTGGATGAACCATTCTTGTCGGGTGAGAGGTACAAATTGAATCACAGCAACAGTAAGATGCGTGGAAAAAGGTGAGCAAACTAGCAAACACTTCGTAATAAATATTAGTAAATTGTATAGTATTCTGAATTTAATATAAATTCAGAACCGTACCATTCAAATATTCTCGTCCGGCGGTGAAACTGGCAATGGTGTTGATCAGACGAGCCATTTGCTCCCGTGAATCCACACCTTCAGCTTGAAGAACACGTACGAATAAGGACTAAATGACAATAAATCGGTCACTGAAGTGAAAAGTTTTGGTCAAACAAACGTCTGAAGGAAAAAAGATGATCATTCGTGTTGAACAGTCCTTTTTCGGATACGCCATTACTTCGCTTCCATTCAGAATTCGTTGTTGCATTTGAATGCGATAGACCCGTAAATCTTAGGCAATCTTGTTAACTGACCTGTTTCTTGGCTTTCAGAAGTAGCACATCGTTGTCGACGATCCATGAGAGCGCTTTTTTCGAGTACTCTGGTGAAGCAGCAACGCTGATTTGCTGAAATTCCACATAGCCACCTTGATTTGAACCGTAATGCCCATATGCGTCTTAACACGTTGACGACAGCGTGACACGGTTGCGTCCCACTTTTCCAGGCCGCGCGGGACATTGTGACGCGGCGCCTCACCTATGTCATTCCTTTTCTCGTGCTTACGCGACTTTTCCGTGGTTGTTCTATTTATTCTACAGATCACCCATAGCATAACTTAAATGCCATGGTTCACCATCGGCTAAATAGGCTTGGGTTTAGGTAGGTTTTCCCAGCTTTGAGAAAACGCTCAGTTCATTCCTGTTTTCTTTCTATTCTCATGAAAATGAAAACAAAAAGAGTAGTACGAGTGATTACAAATAGCAGATAGCAAAATACACTTTTTTATTGGAACAAACATGGCAAAAACACTTTGACGTCCTCTACAGTGGGAGTATGTAAAATTCGCTTTCCCATAGCTATTACACGTTCTTTTATTGGAATTCTACTATTCCACCAACAAGTTCAGCGCACTGGATATTGCCAAAATGGTTTTATATCCCCAATGTTTTTGCATGGGCGGAAGTGGTGTAGTGGCAAGTGGCGCGCTTACCACGCGAGCGGTCCGGGGATCAAATCCTGGGTCGTGAGTCGCCCGGGCCAACCAAGCCTTCCATCCCTCCGGGGTCGGTTAATTGGTACCAGACTTGTCTGGGAGGATAAAAAACACTGACCAACATCCGCCGCGGCTATGGTAGTTGAGGGGGGAGGGCAGTCGCCACGCCGGCGCGTATCTCGTCTGCGTCCTTCTAGCGAGGTAGTGGAAAAATGCACATTCTGTCAAGTGCCTTTCCTCTTTCCCTCCCTCCCTTCCTAAAATGCCTGTACTCCCTCACTGTTTCGCTAACAAGGAGGGTCTTTCAGGACATGGAGCGTTTTTTCAAAATGGTTTCTGAATGTTGTAGAGGCTCATGTGAGGAACACAGAACCATGGTCCATTTTTCCTGAACGCCCCAGGAATGTCAAAACAGGGGGAAGAATGGTCCAAAGTTCGATCCTCCGTGATGACAAATTTTTGCAATTTATGTTGGCGCCTCCAAATTGCCGCAAAACACGACAATGACATCTATTCTCGACGATGGCGCCATTTGGCGGCAATCTGGGCGCCAAACTATATTGC